TACAAACATGCAGCTTTTGGCTTCACCAGACATTAACTGATGGACTGGAGTGGTGTGGATTACTGTGATGTTTTTATCAGCTGTTTGGACTCTCATTCTGACGGCACCCATTCACTGCAGAGGTTTCATTGCTGAGCAAGTGACGTAATGCTACATTTCTCCAAATCTGTTCCCATGACGAAACAAACTCATCTAACATCTTGGATGGCCTGAGGGCGAGTACATTTTTCAAATATTTATTTTGGGTGAACAATTCCTTTTCCAATTCCAAGTGCATGCTATTTGAACGCTCCCTCACCCGCCTCGCTGTGGGCCACAACTACGCCCAACTCGTTCTCTGCTGTGGTCAGCAGGTAGTTCGACTGCACGTCGCCCAAAGAGATCTGACATCCGAGGTCAAGGGTCATGAGCAACACATCCATGACAAAAGGAAAACTGCTTTTCATAGAGCATAAAGGATACCACTTTTGCAAGGACAATGTCGCCTGGCCTGAAGCTTTTGTACGTCTCCACCTGAAAAGAGCAATTCAATACATGACATTTTAACCCCCCTACACACTTTTTGAAAAAGGGTTACATATTGGATGTTTGCAGATATTTCTGTACAATTTTTGATAGCATTATCATCTTTCCCATGCACCTTTTTTTTTTTAAATCACAAAACAAAAAAATTCCCATGAGCTCACCTTGTCTTTCTCTGTCGCTCTCACGTCTTCTCTTCTGGAGAATCCAAACCAAACAGTGTTTAACAGATTAGACTAAATCTTTTACTTCTATTACTGATAATAAAATATCCAACAGAACCTGCTTTTAAAATATGAATGAAACGTAACTTGGTTATTTGAGACATTTGATGGGATATTAATCTCAAGTATTATGTAAATACATATGCATATCTCATTATTTATACAGCTGTATATAGCGAAATCAATGCACAAATCTGTACATAAATCTTCTGTTCCAGATTCATACACATTATTATTATTTATTGTTAAGTCTTACTGTTTAAATGTTTTGTGTTCTCATGTCAGGTATGTATGCATGTACCAAGTAGTGGTCGACCGATATATCGGCCGATATTTGGCATTTTGCAAATATCGGCATCGGCCGATAAGTTTTCCTGTTTGGCCGATGTGATCGAGGCGGGACTTTTATTTTGACGGCGCTGAGAACGGCAGCGCCTGAGCACACAGTGCTCACATTCTCCCTCTAGTTTACGGTCGTTGTTAACAGTTCTCTGTCTAATACGGATAGAAGTCTGTCTAATAATCCGATAGAACGGTTAAACAAAGTAATGAATGTATACAAAATGTATTATAACGATTGCTTTTATATTATTAGTAATAGAAAGGCAAACATTATAATGTTTGTAATACTCTCTCGTTTGATGTCAGCATTAAGCAAATACGCATTTACATAATTTAAACAAATCTTTGAATGACTAATGAACATTTAAATTTCACAAACCTTGCAAACTCAGTCGAATCCAGTTGTGAGATCTTGTGAAGTGTGCATTTTTATCCAGCATGATCGCGTGTTCTCTGCCTGACTTTCGGTCCGTGTGAATTGAATGCTTTAAACTCGTGATTTCAAATCATGCTGCGCTTTATGCATTTGCCCACTGTCTTATTCATGTCATTTTCACTGTGTGCTGAATGTAAAATTAGTGTTACCTTGGCTTTATTTGAAAAATATGATTCCCAATGCACACAGACTTCCCAGAATACTGAGTGCCCTGTTGGTTACAGTGTTTACTTCCTTTTTAATTATATTTTTATTAAATATTTATTTATGAAAAATACTTTGTCATCTAAAGTATAAGTATGTTTATTTTACACATTTATTTTTAATCCATTGTCAAATGATTTCAAATTTCTGAAATATTAATTAAAATTAAAAACAAATTATATCGGCTTTATATCGGCCACCCTGCTTTCCAAGATATCGGCATCGGCTGTCAAAAAACCAATATCGGTCAACCACTAGTACCAAGAGCACCTTAAAAACCACAACAAATTCCTTGTGTGTGTCTGCGCACACTTGGCGAATAAACCTAATTCTGATTCTGATATTAGAATTAGGGATTGATAGAAGAATAAATAATTCGTACCTGATCGTGCCTCTAAACCTGTCTTTTAGCGGTGTCGACCCCACATATAAGATGTGGACTTTAGCAAATCGTGGGTTGATACTCGTCACCTGCAAAGGAAACAATCATAGATTTATTACACAGAAAAATTTAACAAAACATCACGCAGTAAATGGCAAAAAAAGAACAGAAGGATTTAGATATATGACCATAGCATTAAGCACCAGTGATGTGATGTTTTGTACTGAACGCTCACCTTACAGGTGACAATGGCACCGACGTCCGGCAAAAGCTGTGCTTCTGTCTCCCTAACGACTGAAATCACCGGGAGCTATAAAGAATAAAATGTCACTATTGGATTACCAAGAAGCATGGGTGTTTAAGTCTTACAAATGAATAAAACTGTTGTGTTCAAATGACAGAATGTCCATGAAAGTGACTGTGCGATACATGAACTGACCTCCTCTCCCTCGTTCTTTCTCAGCACGTATCCCGCGAGCGAAGCGAAGATGTTGCCGTGCCGCAGATACGTGCCGGTGCCGGGGATACAGTCCTCCGTGCTGCAGAGCCTTTCACCTGTGTGAACAACAGCAGACGAACCAAGCCACATCAAACTGTTTGTAAAAACACACAAATCATGTACAGTAATGCACACTCAATGGAAGTATATAGGACAGGAATAAACGTAAAAATATAGTTTAACCACCAGTGTTGGGGGTAACTGATTACAAGTAACACGAGTTACGTAATCAGATTACTTTTTTCAAGTAACTAGTAAAGTAACGCATTACTTTTTAATTTACAAGAAAATATCTGAATTACTTTTTCAAAAAAGTAATGCCAGTTACTTTGTTTTCCCATTTATTGACTGACAGCTCTCCTGTCCCCATATTGGGAGAAATCTGAAGTGCAGAGGAATTGTGTGCGCTGTGTGAACATGATGTTACTGTAGTTCTAGACTAAATGTGAATGTGCATTAATTCATCCCACTCACAAAAAACAGATTTAGTATTCATCAAAATGAATTAAAACAGTGAAATGCAAACTCAGAATATGACGCAAACCTGCAATAATTAAATATGTTAAATAACACAAATGTATCTAATCCCATTTTATTAACCGATGTCTTTGCTGCGGACCTTTGATGATCCCGTTCAACCATACTAATAAGCAAAAATTACTTTAGATTTAAATTTTGCTTTGTTTTTGTATTGCTGAAGAATGTTTCTTCTCCTGCGTTCTACTGTCCAGACGTGAATTTACTTTTGCTTCAGCCTGAGGTTTATTCATTACACTTTTTGGTGTGAAAGGGCTTTTACATTTGCTATAAATAGAACTTCTTATAAAACAATCAAGCCCTGCTTAAATTTAAAAAGTAACACGAAAGTAACGCAAAAGTACCCCAAATATCATAAAACACACACTACTCTACAGGAGAAATTAATTTAAAAAATTTTTTTTACAAAAATGCAAAAAAAAAATTTTTTTTTTTTAATTAAACCGGATTTCGGTGACTTAATGTAAACGAGGTTTCCAGGGCAATCTAGGTGATCAAAACAGCTAGAGTCGTCCATCAGCTGCGGGTTCGTGTAGAGGCACATAGGGGAGTGTTTAGGGCAGGTATGCATGACAGCAGCGCTCGCGCCCCGGGCGGTGGGCAGGGCTCGCCAAACGAGTCTTTAAACCCTGCAAGCCACTCTAAAACTACACTCACTCACAGAATATCACGTATACGCGATTATATCAAGCAAGTCAATCAACATCAGCTGTTTTTGCCATATGTTGACCGAAATCGAACATATTTATGGGTTTACAACGCCGTAATAGTGCTGCGCGTGCGGATGATTCAGCCCTACAGCAACACACGTGAACGCTATAGAGGAATCAAACTGCTCACAACTTTTACTAACCACTTCAAAGTTCATAAAATATCAGTCTGTGCATAAACAAAGAACATATAGCCATGCAACGATTATGTCGATAAGCCCAGAAGGACGCGCAGATAGCATGTTAATAACAGCGACCCACCTGGAACACACAGCTTCATGGGCGACATGTTTTCAAGAAGAAACAGCCGCGTTTTCATTGGCTGTTAGTCAGAGGGCAACTCGCGCTCTGATTGGTCACTTCATTATACGCGGTTTGAGTACACCGCCATATTTGTTGTGGCTGCAAATGTAAATAGTGCTCTGGGAGACATGTTGAATGGAAACGGTTTGGACGTTTTGTTTCTTGTAGCACCTTTCTTGTATATTTCTTAGCATATGTTATTATTTAAAAAAATTTAATAAATAAACGTAGTCCAGGAGACATGAAAAAATACACTGCCGTTCAATGGATCTGTAAGATTTGTGATGTTTTTGTTTTAAAGAAGTCTCTTCTGCTCAAGTCTGCATTAATTTGATCAAAAATACAGTAAAAAAAACTGTAATATTGTGAAATATTATTGGAATTTAAAATAGTGTTTTTCTATTTTAATATACTAAAGATTTGTGATGTTTTTGTTTTAAAGAAGTCTCTTCTGCTCAAGTCTGCATTAATTTGATCAAAAATACAGTAAAAAAAAACTGTAATATTGTGAAATATTATTGGAATTTAAAATAGTGTTTTTCTATTTTAATATACTTTAAAAAGTAATTTATTTCTGTGATCAAAGCTGTATTTTCAGCATCATTCCTCCAGGCTTCAGTGTCACATGATCTTCAGAAATGTTGGAAACAGTTGTGATGCTTTTTATGTTTTTTGGAGCCTGTGATGCATTTTTCTGGACTCTTTGATTAATAAAATGTTAAAAGTACAGTATTTATTTAAAATAGAAATCTTTTGCATATTCATGTTTTTAAACGATTTACTGTGATATTTTTATCTTTACGAATCAGAAGAAAATATTCACAGCGTGCAACTTTTTTTCTGCTTAAGTAAGCCGACATTTATTAGGGATTGCACATCTCATAACGTCTTTCAGTCAAGCAAAATAATTTTAACATCTGCTGTACAAGTGAAATGTACAAGAACAGACAAAATGCTATAATTCATTTTCTGGGACAACAATATTCAGTATTTCCTTAATGGCGAATGTTTGCAGGATACTTGGGTCAAAATGCATTGAACAAGACATGTACTACAGTACAAAAACACCAACATACAGTGACATTTACCACAGAAAAAGTGAGCAGAAAATGACCATAAACATATGCAAAAAGCCCACAGGAATATCAGCAAACAAGCTCCCTTCTCCACTCTAGATGTAGGTGAATCTTAAAAACAAACCGTAACACATCTTTTCAGTGACTTCAAAGTGTGGGATGATTCAAGAGCATTTGTGTGGGTGTTTAGAGATATAGCGCAGCGGTGCAAAGCATGAATCACGCAAAGACGGGGAATCGCAGCACTTCTGCAGCCCACATGGCCATTAATATATGCTGTTGCCTGGCAACAGTGGTCAAAGCATGCCATCACAGACAAACACATGTGCCATCTTTTGAAATGTGCGACTGTGGATCTTCAGTGCCGAGACTATGTAAAGCTAAAATCCCTCCCTGTGGCTCAGTTTCACAGCATTTATACACATACCCAAGCAGTTTCAATTGAATTTTATTATAAGGATGGTCCCGATTCAGAGCATTAGGAAATGAATTACTGGTCAGTGGTTTGGTTCTAGGCTCATGGTCAAACACTGATTGCGGTTTTGAGGAGGATTGTGTGAATTGAGGTCTACTTCTTGGCTTTGCCCTGAGCGGCGACGGCCTCCATGGCTTTGCGGACCGTCTCTTCATCCCCCAGGAACTGCATGGGCTTCACAGGCTTCAGGTTCTTGTCCAGCTCATAAAGGATGGGGATTCCTGTGGGCAGATTCAGCTCCATAATCGCCTCCTCTGACATACCTGGAGCAAACACACGGGTTATAATCAGCACAATCAAATAGATGCAAATATAAAGCATTATGGATGGCTGCCAGGACACTGTTATACATTTGCTAAGATGTCTTGAATAACTGCTATCTTACTCTGGATGTTATTAAGAGCCAGTGAAAATCATGCATCATGTAGGGCCCTGTGAATTCCACGACGAGTTGCGGAATTCAGTGATAAAAATGGATTTTCAGTATAACTCGGAATGTCACAGAATTTTGGATGAGTAACTTCAAGACAGAAGGGTTAGAAGGTACTCCAAGTAATAACAAAAAATAATAAATTATAACATTAATAAAATTAAAACAATTTTTTTTTAAGGAACATCACACAATTCTAAACCTGTTATGCAGCACTTTGTTTGCCAAAAAATAAAATGAATTGGTATATTTTCATTTGATTACATTTTAAAAGATAAATTAAACTGTTAATGTTTTATGCCTTCCCTTGACTACCACCATTTTTGATAATAAAATTGTATTTAATCATAAATTCCGAATAATTAAAAGAAAGAATTTCTGAAAAAATTAAACTTTCCATAGGACCCCATTATTGTAAAAAAAATTTAAATAAATATATCGTTATTAATTACAAATATTTTTTGGTTACTAAAATTGAAGTAAACCATTAAAACAGAATTTTTAACAAAATTAAAATGAAAAACAGAATTTTGGTTAAAAGTAAATAGAATTTGGGGTGGGGGGGGGGATCAAAATGATTTAACAGGTCCCTAAAAATGTAAATTTTGATAAATTTATGTTAAATGACATTTAATTTTCTTTTATAAATTAGACATGCTGTTTAAACCTAATTCATTAAACCCTTAATAAATCATTGTTCAATTGTAAAAAAAATTTTTTATTTGAATTAATTAGACATACGTTTGATTACAAACATTCAATTTAACCATTAAATCCAGAAAATTACAATGTAAAAAAATGGAATTGAGAAAAATTAAAAACTAAAAAATTAATAAATGAATAAAATAAAGAAAATATTGTTAAACACAACTGTTGTTAAATGTATACATTTCAGGATTATAATTAATTAGACATTCTTTTTGATTGTTAACATTTAATTTAACCATTAAAACAGGATCCAGATTTCATAGGGTCCTATGGATTAAGAGACCTCTTGGGCTCGTTCTGGGTGGTTTTAGGGTGTAATTATATACTGTATGGTGTAACATCAGGTTCTGGGCTTCAGGTTTCTCACCCTCCAGGTGTTTGACGATTCCTCGCAGGCTGTTGCCGTGAGCGGCGATGAGGACCCTCTTGCCCTCCTTGATCTGAGGAACGATTTCCTCGTTCCAGAACGGCAGCGCTCGAGCGATAGTGTCCTTCAGGCTCTCGCACGAGGGCAGCTGGTCCTCCGTCAGGTCGCCGTAGCGACGGTCCTGCAGCGACATCACATTCAGTGTCACGTGACCCTTCAGAGATCAATCTAACATGCTGTGTTGTAGCAAAATGCTTCTGTATTCTTTCTGGGTGAAGAACTGACGCGGGTCATTTGATCAATTGACTGTGTGGCTAGGAACTATGCTCTCATTCCGGCGTAATAATCAAGGAACTTTGC